TTTTTGGCAAGCGAGATGGAATGTGGATGGGTTTTCTCACTCGGAAAGTTCTGGAAAATGCTACCAGGTAAAAACAACACCACACTAGCGTAACATGAAAGCACAACTTCCTTATTTCTCCGTCATGACCACATAGTTCTCACTCACACACTTTTTTTGTAATAATTAAAAAATAGCTTTCATCAGCTAAAGTTGTAACCTTCACACTCTGAAAAAGGCACCATGTGTAGATAAAAAAATTTATTTTTATTTTAAAAATATTAATATTTGTGACAATATGTGATACTCTTGTGACAAGAGGACACGAGCACTCATCAGTCTTTCTTTTTTATTTTTTTTACTTGCAGTTATGAGGATGCCAAAGGCCAGCTCTCTCTGACGAAACTGCTTGCACCCGCTTACTTCATCTTGGGTGGTAACCGAACGGGTCAGGGTTGTGTGATAACCAGGACGAGAATAAACACATTAGACATATGGGAGTGAGTAAATCATATCACACAGAAGTACCAAATTTCTGTCTGCAATGCTTTAAACTGCCCTAAAATTTGTTGTTGATGTTAAAGACTTTATATGAAGCTTGGGAGATGGTACGTCCTGGAAACAAACTATGATCACTGGGAAAAGCCTATGATATTTGATGACCGCAGAACACCTGCAATGAAGTGCATGAATCAAACCACACAAGCGGTATGTGGCATTTTGTGTTAGAAGTAAAACGGCTATGTAGTAGTAATTAAGAGAGTAGGTTAATTAGTTTTTAAGTGCTTTTAAAATAATGTGCATATTTAGTAACTAATTGTTCATGAAGATGTTTTATAGAAGATAACAAATTGTAATTTCCACAGAATATTTCTCTGGCATCAATATATGATGTTCTGTCTACAAAACCGGTTCTTAATAAAGTAAGTCTTCCTTTCAGTTGAATTAACAACAGCCTTACACTTACATATATCATACTTATATTTGGTTTATTTTAATTTTTTTAATTTATTGTTCTTTCTTTCTTTCACTATTTTTTAGACAGAGAGACAAAAAGGGTGTTTGATCACATTTCTGCATCTGGTCTAATGTCATATAATAATGAAGCCATTTTCTGTCCTGTCTTTACAGTTGACAACCTACACGTCACTGATGGAAGTGTCTACTGGATCTCTGGAGTCTTATATCAGAGATTGTCCAAATCCATGTACGCCATGGTGATCTGCCATCAAATCTGAATTAACTAAGGCATATGAAATACTGTTCTGGATATCTGTCATTACATGGCGGTGTATAAGAAAAGGAGGATGTTAAAAATCATAATGGTTGCAATTCTATCTCTGAACTTGCACATATCTCTTCACATGGACACGTCTGTTGTAACTGCTTTACCACTGCAACATTTGTGCAATTGTTTCAATTTTGCATAACAAACTCTGAATAACCACACATTTTAAATGGAAATGTTTTTTTTATATATTTTCTTTGAGTGTTGCCTTTTTCTTTAATATTTTGATGATATAAGGAAATCAGTTTTTCTGAAACCCTTGGTAATGATGCTGAAAAGTATTTTTGTAATTTATACTGACATTTTATGTGTCTCTTGCTGGGACTGTGTTGAATGTGTAAGTGGAGGTATTACGAGTTACAAACAGTAATAAAATGTTTCATCAACAAAGGCTAAACTGAATTTGATGTGTGTAATTTTAATCCTTTTTACACCTACAATTATTAAACTGATGCAGTCCAGTTACAATGTCTCTGTTGGAGGTCTACTTTTGCAGCTAAATGTTAATACATTCAGTATATTTCTATTAGTCATTCAGGTAAGTTTATTCCCTGAGACCCGGAACAGTAGGCCTATGCTTGATTTCAGAGGCAAACTTACATTAAGTGGTGGCCCCAGCCAAAATTAATAAATAAGACCCTTTTTGTTTAAATATAGGTATTAGTTACCTAGAGAAATAATTATATAACATACATTGTAAACTTTTGGGGCTTAGCCCAAATCTTGGCAAGTGGACATTTTTCCCCATTTACGGCAGCTATAATATGAACTTGTGTTTCTCATAGGAATTTATGAGACTATCCTTGGTCTTTAGGGTGAAAATTTATATATCCAAAGTCCCGATCTGAATCAAAAGATTCACGAACCCGCAACGAAGTTCCAATCTAAATCAAACGATTCATAATACACGCTCCAAAGTTCGAACTGCATAATGATTATCAAACCATTATTCAGGTCTGAATCAAAAGATTTGCAAACCCGTTCCGATGAAGGCTGCGTTCCAGTCCATTTTTTATGCCCTTCACTCGCAAACTTCCCTCGGTTGTGGCTAGAAGGGATACAACCAGTGCCGATCCTAGACTTCTGGTTCTGGGCAGAGACGATCCTCTCTATACACAAAATACGCAAGCTGCGTAGGGCCCCCGAAACATCTGGGGGCCCCTTTGCTCTCAAAGATTATTTAATTTTAGTTTCGTTTTTGAATTTGGCCAGCGATTATGAAAACATGAATGACAGAGTGAAACATGGACGAATGTGTTTCATTCATTCGTTTATAACCACTCATACCCCACTCCACCACCGACACAGTTTTGCGTAGGACCCCCAGAAGCAGTGCCGATTCTAGACTTCTGGGGGCCCTAGACTTCTGTGTAATTTTATCTATCTCAACCAGTAATTGGTGGGCGGAATTAGTGTAAATAGCTTCTGCCAACAAGGTGGACTATTGCACTTAGTGTAAATAGACACTTTGTTAATATTAACATTTCAGATTATTTAAATGATCAGCCCTTGGGGCGGCCCTCAAAATGCAGGGCCCCAGGCAATTGCCTGCTTTGCCTGCCTTATTGCTACTGTACGCCTCTGCTTGATTTAAATTTAACTAGAAAACAAATTGCAGCAGGTTTCTTTTATGTGTTGTGCATATGCATGTCTATCATCAGCAAGATAAATTATTCTTTTAATGGTTTTACTTTTGGAATGAAACTCCCTCTCTCTCGCTCTCTCTCTCTCTCTCTCTTTAGGATCAGTGTGCCTCACACATGTTTTTCCCATTTTGTTTTTATGGGTGTTACAAATCAGGTATTCGTCCCTGCGTATCAGACATTCTTTAATCAGGATTGTTCTATTTATTTTGTAAACAAATATGCACGTGTTTTAGATTTACAGAGAATTAAATGTGTGCATCAATGTAAATTACAAAGAATTCTTTTTTTTTATGTAAAAAACATTTAAACTTTAAGGACCATTCATTTGTTTTACTTGAATTTTACTTGAACAAATTTAAGGATTGAGATCAAATGTCTCAATTTTTTATTCATTTACAGAAGATTTTCAGTCTTCTTTGTGACGTCTCGGGAGCTGTTTGTAGTTATCTGCACATCTGTTTTGATCCAGAGTGACTCAGCTCAAAGCAGTGCACATTCAACCACAGGAAACTTTGGTCAGGCACCAGAACAGACCTCAGAAGCATCTGTACAAGCTGTTGAGATTGTAGTTGTTCTTTAGTGCCTAAATTGCACACTGCATGACTTGGTTTACAATCTTTTATCTTTAAATACAGCATCTACAATGTCAGTTTTGCTCATCATTTGGATGCTTTGTACTACTCTGGATTTGTCAGACTCTGTAAGTATTGTCTTAATATTTATTTTGCTTCTTTCTTATGTGTTTAAATTACATTTAGTTACACCTAAATGAAACAGTGTGTTTATACTTTATTTGTATGTTGAGTCTACAGTAGTCATTCTGTGTGTTGTGTGTTTAGACTCCTGACGAATGTGAAGATGAGATACAGCGTCTTCGAGTGGAGTTGAAGAGTTTGGAACTTCGCCAGACAAAGCAACAGCAACTTATTCAACGATTAATGAATCACAACCAGATGGATGAACATTCCCTAAAAGCGGGCTCATTTTATGACATGGGAGACAACCAGTACATGGGTCAAAGCTCTATATTATTTTCTTAAGATGTAGTATTCATTGTGTAAATATGTTATACTTGTCTGATTATAACAGCACAATGTAATACTAACAAAAATCAATCTGCCACAAACAGACTGTGCTCAGATCTTCAAAAATGGAAGCACTCTGAGTGGGTTTTACATGATTAAACCACTGCTAAATCTAACCCGGATCAGAGTGTACTGCGATATGACAGAGGGGGGTGGATGGACAGTCTTCCAGAGACGCTCAGATGGCAGTCAGTCATTTGACAGGTATGGAAAACTCTATTTCATTGATGTGAGAAGAGATGTGTACTGATTAATAAATGAAACATGATGTCTCCATGTTCATGTTTAGAGATTGGAATGATTATAAAATAGGATTTGGTGACATGAAGTCCGCTAATGGAGAGTTCTGGTTAGGGAATGATAATCTGCATTATCTGACATCTCAAGGTGAGTAAATCTATGCATCTAAAATGCATGCAAACTGAAATAAATATGTCATAATAGGCCATAATTATATGTATATACAGGTGCATCTCAAAAATTTTGAATATCGTGAAAAAGTTCATTTATTTTTGTAACTTATTTCCAAAAGTGAAACTTTCATATATTCTAGATTCATTACATGTAAATTAAAACATAAAATTGAAAAGTAAAACGTTTCAAAATATTTTTTGTTTTAATTTTTAAAAACTTTCATGAGCTGTAAGCTCAAATAATCAAAATTAAAACAAAAAAACTTTTGAAATGTTTTACTTTACATGTAATGAATTTAGAATATATGAAAATTTCACTTTTTGAAACAAGTTACAAAAAAAGAACTTTTTCACGATATTCAAATTTTTTATTACAACAACCCTACATTTGAAGAATAGATGGATATATTATATTATATTATATTATATTATATTATATTATATTATATGTGACCCTACATAGGACAAGCAGTTTGAAGAATGGATTGATATTATATTATATTATATTATATTATATTATATTATATTATATTATATTATATTTTACCAGTTTGAAGAATGGATTGATATTATATTATATTATATTATATTATGTGTGACCCTACATAGGACAAGCAGTTTGAAGAATGGATTGATATTATATTATATTATATTATATTATATTATATTATATTATATTATATTATATTATATTATATTATGCACATATTTTAATAAAACACCTTCTGTTGCGCAGACGATTACACCTTGAGAATCAATCTGGAAGACTTTGAGGGCAGCCACCGTTTTGCAGTGTACAAAACGTTCAAAGTGGATAATGAACAGGTCTTTTTATTAATCTCTTCATAATATGATAAATGATATGTGGATAAATATACTGTGCCCATTATGAACCAACAGGTGGCATGTGAAGTTTCTAATAGATCAGTACAGCGGGGTGTATAACTGTATTCTGTTTCCATTAAGAACAGTGTTACACAATATCACAATTTATAAATTTCATTTGACCTGAATGGTATAATATCTGTTTATTTAGTTAATGTTTTAACGATCCCATTTGTCTTCTCAGAACCATTACCAGCTCCAGTTTGGCGTATACACAGGAAACGCAGGGGACGCTCTCTCTGGCAGTTATCATCCTGAGGTTCAGTGGTGGGCCAGCCATCAGGCAGGGAAGTTCAGCACACGAGACAGAGATAATGACCGCTATGATCGCAGTTGTGCTCAGGAGGACAAGGGTGGCTGGTGGTTAAACAGGTTTGCACCTTAACAATGACAGAGCTTTTCACATTACAGTAATAATGACAATTACAATATGTACAAAGGAAGTTATTCTCAAGTTCATACAGCTGCCCTATAGCAGAGTAACCACTGGTGTATTTCACTACTTTAACTATGAATATTTGACAACCAAGAGGTAACCATGAAGGAAATGATGAATTTGTGGATGAAGACAAATGACATTGTAGTCCAGCTTAGTAGTCCAATTCTTAAGTATTTACATATGTAGTTAAAAAAGCTCTTCTCCTCCATGTAGCGCAATAAAGTTCTCAAAACATCCTTGCGCCATCCTTGTGTTTTCCATCATAGTATTTTTAATTTGATTAATTTCTTAGTTAATATTAATAATAATTAAGAAATAAATCAGAATTAAAGAGGAAAGTTTCATTAAAATTGCATTTTTTTTTTTATTAATTGAATATAGAATACTAAATGATGTTGTCATAATTTATAGCAATACCTGTCAAGGTCTGTCAAGGTTAATGTAGCTAATAATTAACACGCAGGGGACGCTCTCTCTGGCAGTTATCATCCTGAGGTTCAGTGGTGGGCCAGCCATCAGGGAATGAAGTTCAGCACACGAGACAGAGATAATGACCGCTATGATCGCAGTTGTGCTCAGGAGGACAAGGGTGGCTGGTGGTTTAACAGGTCTGCATCTGTAACAATGACAGAGCTTTTCACATTCCAGTAATAATGACAACTACAACATGTATGAAAGCAGTTCTTCATTACATTAACTATGAACATTTGACAACCAAAAGGCGTCCAATATGTTTTGTATGTTGTTTCACCTGTATTCCTCTAGATGTCACTCTGCCAATCTGAATGGATTCTACCACAGAGGCCCCTACAGCGCAGTCACTGATGACGGAATAGTGTGGTACCCCTGGCATGGCTGGTGGTACTCCCTCAAATCTGTGCAGATGAAGATCAGACCAGCCAGTTTTGAGCCTAATGATGTTTAATTCATGGATCTGATATCTAAACCATGAAGGAAATGATGAATTTGTGGATGAAGACAAATGACATTGTAGTCCAGCTTAGTAGTCCAATTCTTAAGTATTTACATATGTAGTTAAAAAAGCTCTTCTCCTGCATGTAGCGCAATAAAGTTTCAAAGTTCTACAGAAAGTGCAAACACCATCAATATCAGGGTATTTAGAAAACTGACAGAGTATTTATAGAGCTGTTTTAATGTAGTAAATAAAATTTAATTTAAAACATTACATTACATTTACATTTTATTTTTAAAAAATGTTTTTTTTTTTTTTAATGTATAGGGTTGAAGTTTAAGTTAAAGATAACCTCTATATAATAATTTAAAAAACATTAAATAAAAAAATGTTGAAGGTTGTATTTTTTAAAAACACTTCTAACACTGACACACTGACAAATGTAGTAGAGTTTTTATAGTAGATTATTATTATTATTATTATTATTATTATAAAGATAGCCTATTATATATAGAATTAGAATATTAGAATATACTTTATTGTCCCGTTTCTGGGAAATTCATCTTGGACAACCGTGACATGGCCAGTACATAACTCACACAACACATTACAACTCACAATAAATTACACATATCAAATATATTAAAAAGCTACAATATATGCCAAACAAACTCCTCATTTTTGCACTTCTCTGTTGAATAGTTTAACAGCAGTTGGCACAAAAGAATTATTGTAGCCATATGATTTACACATCAAATCCTCAATCGTCTCCCTGAGGGTAACATATAAACATTCTCATGTAAAATATGTGTATCATCAGCAACAACTTTTTAGCTTGTCTTAAAACAGATACCTCATACATCTCCTGAACAGGTCGTTTGGCTTCCCAACCTACAATTTTTAAAGCAGTCTGTACAAGTCAAGCAAGTTTTGGACAGTCAGATTTCCATACCATGCAGTAATACCATATCTTATCAAACTCTCAAAAACAGACTGATAGAACAGAAATAAAATCCTCTGATTTACCCCAAATACTTTTAACCTTCGCAAAAAATATAACCTCTGCTGCAGTCTAGAACACAAGACTGTTGACGTGAGAAGACCAACATAACAAATTGTCCATATAGACACCCAAATATTTGTGTGATGAAACCTGTTCAATAAACTTCCCGTTTATTAATACAGGACTATGATCCCCCACAGATTTAGGGACGAAGATCATTTCAACAGGCTTTGTTCCATTTAAAATCAAAAAATTATCATCACACCATCTTACAAATCTATCAACTTCTGAAAAGTACTGCAAACAAGTAATATTCCTATGCAATAAACTCAGTATTGATGTATCATCCGAGAATTTAATTTAAAAAAATGATTGTCCTCACCTGAAACATACTCATTAAACAGAATGGGTGAACTAACACACCCCTGCGGTGCCCCCGTATTAGTAATTTTCACCTCAGAATAACAATTATTAACCCTTACTTGTTGTGTACGATTGGTTAAAAATTAATAAAACCATTTGATACAAAAGGGGTTCACTTTCAATTCTGTCAGCTATTGATATAGTGTAGGCTAGGAAGTGTCAACCGTCAACATTTATTTATTTATTTTTAGCTTTTTTAATTATAATATTTAGTTATCTTTAACTTAAACATCAATCCCTATGCATATGTGGTCGTGAACTGTAGCGGCTCGTGTCTTTCCTGCTGTGACGTCATTTAAGGAGAGCGCGAGCTCACCTGAGCTCTCACCTTTCCAGTGCACGCGCTGCTTTTAACGGTAGACAAATCTGTGAATCCCATTTTATCTCACTTCCGACGTGCGGGGTAAGTTCTCTATGCTAATTAGAGAAGTTGAGACGTCATTGTAGATATTTAACATTTCTACAAACGCACTTTTGTACCTTACATTTCATCCTTGGTTTAGTAGCGCGAGGCATGTTTGTGTTGTTACTCGAGTCGCGTGAATTGTCTTCAGTGGTTTTTGTTTACGTTTACGCCTGTTTAATGATTATTTAGTGTGTATACATTTATTCGAAGGGCATCTTCTGCTTTCTTTCGCTTTACAACTTTGTTTACTCCACGTGTTATTTATAGACGGAGATGCCAGAGATCCCAAACACGCCTCTGATGTTTCTGTCAGGTGCACAAGACAATTTAAAGGCAGCGATCAGGAAATAGATTGTGAGGTATGAGGGAGAAACATGAGCTCAGCAGGAAAAAGTAACTAGATTTAAAAGAATCCAATGAACTTGTTTTTCACCTTGTTTTAATTTTTTCTAGTCTTTTCTATTTCTATAGATTTCACTGAGAACACCGTTCTGAGTATCCTGATTTGTTTTTGATTGAATACTGTGATTAAGATGGTTTAGACGTCAACCAACCTATGTAATGATGTATTCTATGAATATTTTGAAGTGCGTGTTGGTTTGATGTGGCTCAAATGCACCATTAGTTCATGGTACTGTGGGACTTATGTGCTTTATGCCTTGAGCAGATATGGTGTACAGAAACGGTGAAAAGCTCAAAGGGCAGAAGCTTTGAATTCCAGAGCAGGTTATAGTGCAGGTGCCCTTTAGGACCTCCTACTGTAGGGGCAGAATTATCAGATTACTTAAACTCTGTTATTTATTCTATTTGCTTAGAAATATATATTATATTTAGAGTAGTGTCAATGGAAAATTATCACCTTTTTTGTTTTTGTTTGTGAGGGGATAAAGAAGGCATGTTGATGGCATAAATGCAACAATGACTGACCTTACAGTTTTCAAAAAGTTTCTGATACACTGCCATTCAAAAAGTTTGGGGTTGGTAAGATTTTTTTAATGTTGTGCTCACCAAGGCTGCATTTATCTAATCAAAATAACAGTAAAACAGTAATATTTAAATATTGTAAGATAATTAATTATAATAATTAAATATATTTTAAAATGTGATTTATTCCTGTGATGGTAAAGATGAATTTTCAGCATCATTACTCCAGTCTTCACTGGCACATGTTCCTTCAGAAATCATTCTAATATTCTGATTTCTTAGTATTATCTTTGTTGAAAACAATTGTGCTGCTTAATTTTTATTTTTATTTGTTGTTGGTTTTTTTTGTGTGTGTACAAAACGTTCCAGGATAAATAGAATGTTCAAAAGAACAGCAGTTATGTGAAATAGAAATCTTGTGACATTATAAATGTAGCATTATATTTGCAGACATTTTGATCAGGTTAACATGTTCTTGCTGAATAAAAGTATTTATTTCTATCAAAAGAAATTTTCACTGACTAAAGTTTTGAAGGTTAGCGTATGTCTTGCCAAATAGTCTCAAACAATTACAAAGTTATTTAATAAAGTTAGTAGTTATTTAATTATTGAATACGATTTTGTGCTTATATTTTATTGTTTGAGTGCCAGCAAAAATTACAGTCCATTGTTTGCTGAATCAAAATGGGTTGAATGATTTTATTTAAGTTTTTTGATTATGTAACTCTGTGGCCTGGTGTCCAACACTTCTTGGTATCTTTTGTTAACCAATATTATGGATTCCTACTCTTGTGTAAAGACCTTTAAATAGGGATTAATCAAGAATAGTACTGTTCCCAATGACCGATGTAATACCCCTCATGCCTGCTATTACACAACTTTAGGAAGTCAAGGTATTGTCAAGCATTTGTCAATACAAAGAAAGTGTTGCAGTTTTCTATGCCAATTATGCGTAATTGGATTGCTTTTCTAAATAGATATGACATTTAAATTCTAACTTTTGTGTGCGTTTGTTTTATCATTTTTAAATTTGTAACATTTATGCTTAGTTTTACATTAGAGGTTTTCCATGGTAGAAAATATCTGCATGGCTGACATCCAGTTTTTCTCCTCGTTTATCCTCTGATACCTAAATCCCTTAAAAAAATGCTACTGGCTGCTTGGCAACAGCATTGCTGCTTTTGGCCTGAGGTGCCCTGGCCCCTCCCCTCACGTCGGGCTTGTCTAGGATAGGGTAACCCAGTCACTGTCCCCTGTAAAGTTAGCCTTGAGGCTTTGCAGTGGGTTCAGTCGTGGCCTAGGCTGGAACTTGAAGAGCGCTGTACGAGTAGAGGCGTGTTTTAGTATGCAGGGACAGCCCAAAAGTGTGCTGACAGCAGCCTGGACTGTGCTACATTCCTATGAGACAAACCATTGCTGCGAGCCAGGAGCGGTGCTGAAGGAGGGACTGCTGGGGCTGATGGGTATTTTAGAGCTGGCAGTCTTTATATATGTGCGTTTAGTGTGGTGTAGTGTTTACCACAGCACTAATAGGATTGATCCTGAGACATGGAGCTGCGAGTGCTGCAGGAGCCTGAATAGGATTTGCTGAACTGACATAATGTTATGCCTGGTAGGACTCTGAGGGTTTTCTGATTTTTGTTTTTTAATGTGTTTTAAAAGATGTTAGCATGAAATTGCTAAGATTTAGATAAGTGCATAAATACTATTAGAATTCTATTGCATTTTTTACAGTTACAAGCTGAGGGTATTTAATTTAGGAGAGATGTAATTATTCATATTTTAGACCTGAATTAAAGTTAATGCAATTTGATTAATACAATACATCTGCATGCTGTAAAAAAAAAAAAAAAAAAAGTGTAAGCTTGTTTGTTATGCAATGTGCTATGTTTTTATGCCATAAACTGATTTAGTGCTCCAGTTATGACATTTTTCCAGACTGGGCTCTTAATAATTAGGCTGCTTCAACCCTCAAGAATGAATGATCCATTGTTTTCCACTGTTGCTTTTTATGAGAGTTTGACATATCAGTTTTATGTCCCTTCAAAGTTGAAATAAGATGCATACATCAATAATTTTCCAGGCGGTAGTGAAGTATTAACAGAGGGGCTCATGTTTCTTTAATGCCCAGCCCTTGCATGAGCAGTCGGACTGTAAATGACTAAGCACACTGTTAGTTCCCAAGGTAACCTTTCACTCAGCCAGTGAGTCGAGGTAGGAATTTTTGCACTCCTTTTTATATCAGAATATTAGGGAGAGTCATGTTTCAATGAGAGTTGAATTTATTTTATAATTATGCTTTTATGTTAGAAAAGGATGAGAAATGAATGGGATGCAGCTTTGTAGTTTTAATATCTTGGTCCATTTGATTAACTTGAAGATTATATGAATGTATAATGTTTAAGCAGCTAAATAAAGGATATTTAATATTTTCTTTAACCTGCGAGAGTGTAATATTACACGTTATACATTGTAAATAAAACAAAGATTATTGGTGTATGTTTTACAAGGAAATACTAATGTAGTCTTTCTACTTAAAAAAACAACAAAACAAAACAAAAAAAAAACGTTTAATTAAATGTTACTTGCCATTTCTTTACTGGCAATTTCTGAGTGAAAATTGCACTATATGATAAAACAGATAGACTCTAAACATTTATGACAACATGGCTTGCTGAAAGTTTGTGCTAATATTTTTCACGAGTAACAGTTGAAGAATATCAATTATTGATAGTCTACATTTTAGAAGCAAATTCCAAGTGACAATTACTGGTCATTGTTTGATGAACATTTACACATTAACCTTGTAAACAGGTTCTGGGTCTGTGATTTTTTGGTACTGCTATTTATTGGAATACAGTTTTGTCTGTAATCAGATTCATTACATAGTTCCACAGTTAAAGTGGCATGTTCACTTGCTGTGATTGTATGGGGTTTGTTATTTCAAAAGAAGCTAGACAGAGAGCTTGTCTCTGGATCTGCATAAAATGGCCTCTCTCCTCATTGTACTTGACAGAAGTGCATTAGAGCATGCAAGGCCATTCCCTCAGCAGAGGCAAAGTATGCCATGCCTTTTCAACCCCTGTGGAGTAATGCAGTGATGTTAACATGAGGAGACACAACCCAAAAAATAAATGAGACATTTTGGCACTCAGAAATTGTCATTTCAGCAGATTGCAATTGACCTTTTGTCTTCAATCTTGAAGAAAATGTATTGGTCATCAGATTTCATCAAATTAAGTGGCACATTTTGCAAGTATTAGTGTTTGTGTTAAGTCACAGCAAGCTTTCTGTGTTTGAAAAAGGCATGTCTGCTGGGGTGTAGCCGTCCTATCACGGAGCTAGATCTGTCCCTACTAAACACAGAGAGGTGTTTTCACTTGCACTCAGAGCTGCTTATCTAAATACACTAAATCCACATGCTCCCACTGACCCCTCACCAGTCTCCATCTAACCCATGATTTGTCTCAAACTCACAACAGGCCACTAGACCGCTTTATCTCAGCAGTTACTGTTATTAAGGGTTCCTTTGAATAGACTAATTACACCTGTTTGTTCTGTTTTGTGATGTTTTAGTTAAACTACTGTTCAAAAGTTTGGGGTCAGTAAGTTTTTTTTTGTTTTTTTTGTTTTTTTTGTTTTTTTTATAGCAATTGATACTTTCAGCAAGGATATTAAAACAAAAGTTTGTTCTGTTTTGTGATGTTTTAGTTAAACTACTGTTCAAAAGTTTGGGGTCAGTAAGTTTTTTTTATTTATTTTTTTTATTTATTTTTTTATAGCAATTGATACTTTCAGCAAGGATATTAAAACAAAAGTGACCGTAAAGAAATGTAAAATATTATAGAAGTTTTCTCTATAAATGCATGTTTTTAACTTTATATTCATCAAAAAAATCTTTAAAAATGTGTCA